TACCCCTCACTGACTGAGTGAAATAAGCAGAAATTCAGAGTCCCGATGATGTATAAGAGAAGTAGTAATTTACTAAAAAAGGACTGTGCTTAATAATAAAGTTACACATCACTGCACATGTTGCTAAGCTCTCTGCTTATGTGCTAGCACTTTGACCACAGACAGCTTTGTAAATAGAGACAGGGGGGAAAAGAGGCAGCTGTGTCCCTGCATTTTTCCTCTTGGTCAGCACATCATCAGTGCCAGCCTCACACATTCAGTTAATGGACAGATTTACTGCAGAGCCCTGGCTCTTGTGATAAAGAAGACATCCAGCAGCAGTGTCTGTAGCTGCCCAGCATGCAGCTGGGTGTGTGGCCTGGTTTACACACACTGTTTCTGTTACTTGCTTTATTGTGAGGGATCTTTCCCCCAGTTACTATGGCCTGCTCTAAGAGTCACTTAGGAATTCAAAACTTCTGTCGCATCAATAAATACTCTAATTTCTAAAATATCCAAAGATGTACTAAAGTGAAACTCCAATGAATGAAGCTCAACATGTATTGGATACTCTACAAACACTGTACACAAATGTCTACGATATCATTATCAGATTTAAGTGTTTTATGTGTTGAATACTGCCCAACATCTTACTGAACTCTTAATGAAAGACCTTTCATAAACCATAGGCTCTTCTTTTCAAGGCTTGTTTAGATCCCTATGTTTGTATGTTATGTCTATAGAGTGGTGTACAATACAAGGCATGCTACTTGAGGAAAAGACTATGGTAACAATTTATTGAGCAAATGCAATGCCATATTAAAGGGAACGTGCACTTTGAGTTACTGTTGTGTCATTTTTTTGTTTCATACGAACCCTGACCTACTTCTGGCCTGCAGAACAACAAAAAGGAAAACAGTTCATTTATTCCTGAGGTGCGATCAGGTTTCAGTGCAGTGTCAGCAGGATTGTGTTGTCTCATTAGCAGCCTCTGTGTTGTCCTGCTGCACACTATGTACAGTTAGCTGAAGGCCATACACACTTACCCAATATATCTGTTAAGACTGGTATTAGGCCTTTATCATACAATCAATTAAATGTATTCACACTATTTCAATCTTTTTTTGTTTGTTCTCGTCAATTTGACCTACAAGACCTCATTTTACATTTTATGCTGTGTCTCAATTTGGATACCTCCCTTCGTACACTGTATGTTGTGCACCGGTAAAACATGCACAGTGTGTGACTTCAACCATGTACTGTTGTCTCATATTGCTGACTGCTGCTGTCTCCGCATCGGAAGTGACATTGCTGCTGTTAGCTATCTAGCAAGCAATGTTATCGTTTGCATGAATGAACGGTGGCTTCTTTTTCAACCCTAGGTTGAAAGCCCTCGATCCTGGGAAATCTAAAAACAGCTTTAAAATCCAGATTCAGGGAATCAAAAAACAGGTTTAAATATCCTAGGTTATGGGTATCTAAAAACAATAGGTTTAAAATCCAGATTTAGGGGATTGCTTGGAAACTTAAAAAGATCTTGAGGAGGAATTAATAGAAAGCTCTATTTCTTAATAATAATAATATATTTATTTTGTTAGCGCTTTTACAGGTGCTCAAAGTCGCTTTACAAAGATAGTGAAAAGAAAAGAACAACAAATAAATATATAGTTAAAGTTAAAGACAAATAATACAAAAACAATCACACATTAAAAGCCAGATTGAAGAGGTGAGTTTTTGTGAGTTTGTTGAAGGTGGTGAGGTCAGTGCAGTCTCTGATGGGTTGGGGGAGTGAGTTCCAGAGGGAGGGGGCAGCGACGGAGAAGGCTCTGTCCCCCCAGGTCCGGTGCTTGATGCCAGTGGGGATGGATAGGAGGTTGGCTTCTGATGAGCGGGGGCAGCGGGAAGGAGTGTGGTGGTGCAGCAGGTCTGTGAGGTAGGGGGAAGGGGTGTGGTGGTACAGCAGGTCTGTGAGGTAGGGGGAAGGGGTGTGGTGGTGCAGCAGGTCTGTGAGGTAGTGGGAAGGGGTGTGGTGGTGCAGCAGGTCTGTGAGGTAGGGGGAAGGGGTGTGGTGGTGCAGCAGGTCTGTGAGGTAGGGGGAAGGGGTGTGGTGGTGCAGCAGGTCTGTGAGGTAGGGGGGGAGGGGGCTGGTTGTTGAGGGCTTTGTGAGTAATCAGGAGGACTTTGAAGTGGATTCTTTGACGGACGGGGAGCCAGTGGAGGTTCTGGAGGACGGGAGTGATGTGGTCTCGGGAGCGGGTGTGGGTGAGGAGGCGGGCAGCAGAGTTCTGGATATGTTGGAGTTTATTGAGGAGGTTGGATGGTATGCCGTAGAGCAGGGGTTCTCAACCTTTTTACACCAAGTACCACCTGAGAAAATAGATGGCTCTCCAAGTACCACCATATGACCAATGTTAAAATACAGTCTATGCACAGTTCATGCAGGACTCGGAGGCAAATCCATTATTTATTGTCAGCCACAGCTACATGTACAAAGGGCAGTCTTTCTCTCTCTCTCTCACTCATCACTCACTCACACACCACAAGTGAGAACATAAAGAACAAAATAATAACTTATTATTACACAACAAATGACAACTGTACATACATGTCATTTCCTATACCAAAGTTTGAATGTAGGCCTCCTGCAACAACCCACATCGTAACAGAAAATGTCCTATTGGGAATTCAGTTCCACAATAATAATGAAAGCCTCCAGGAGCAGATGAGCCTAAGGGCTAATAGCTCATCTTCAGTCTGCTGATGTTTGCTATTGCCATTTCTGTGGTGGCAAAAAAGAAAAGAAAAGAGATAACAATTAAGGACAAGTGTGTGCTTTTTCAGCTTTTGACCTCGGTCACAGCCTTCTCTCCATTCTTTGTGCAAATGCCTTCTTCCTGAGTCACTTCTCTCCGCCATCACAGCGTTGTGACTGTGCATATCACTTTTGCGTTGCTGGCGGAGCCTGCGCTTTGTGCTCCGTTGATGACTGTCCTCCTCCTCATTCACTTGTTCACTTTCGCTGGTAATATTCTCCTCTGTACCTCTCTTCTGAATACCTCCCGTTATGAGCCATGTTTTTTAACATCATTCAGCTTTCTTCTTTCTTTAGCTTGCTTGCAACGTTCGATAATCGTTCGCGGTCGTCATTAGCAATGCCAGAAATACATTTAAAAAAATGTGTAGCATTTTGATAGTATGATTTATTTTTTAATTAATGTTATTCAATCAAGCCTCAAACTGATGGCACTTGTCCCTATAGCCTGTTTTAAATTAAAGTTGTCTGAGGTCCTTACCACCAGCTGCTCTTGCAGTAATAAGTAGTACCTTTCTTACTGTCCCAAAGGTGCACAATGTAGTGACTGCTTTTCGTCTTTTTGTTTACTTAGTTGTGTTCTCTGTATTTTTTATGTCTGTGTTATGTGTAAGAACTGTTGCTGCCTTCTTGGCCAGGTCAGCATTGTAAATGAGATGTTGTCTCAATGTTTTCATATTTTTAAATAAAATGTAAAAATATGAGCCACCAACATTTCAGATTCCTCCGCGTACCACTACCTGGAGCTGGCGTACCATCAGTGGTACGCGTACCACAGGTTGAGAACCACTGCCGTAGAGGATGCTATTGCAGTAGTCGAGTCGTGAAGTGATGAATGCATGAATCAGGGTTTCAGCAGCAGAGGAGGAGAGTGATGGGCGGAGACGGGCAATGTTTTTGAGGTGGAAAAAGGCGGTCCTGGTGATGTGATTGATGTGGTGGTTGAATTTGAGCTGACTGTCGAAGATGACTCCGAGGTTGCGGATGTGAGGGGAGGGGGGGGGGATAGAGTGTTGCCGTCAATGGTGAAGTTGAAATTCTGGATGTCTTTGATACGGGATGGGGGGCTGATGATGACGATGTCTGATTTGGCACTGTTCAGTTGGAGATAGTTTGTTTGCATCCATGCTTTTATTTCTGAGAGACAGTTGGTGAGAGTGGAGTGTGTTGTGGGGTGATGGTTTTTGTTGAGATATAAAGTTGGATGTCATCGGCGTAGCAGGGAAATTGAAGGTTGTGGCGACGAATGATTTTGCCAAGGGGGAGCATGTAAAGGATGAAGAGGAGGGGGCCAAGCACCTCTTAATGTCTTTTATTTTTGTAAAGCACTTTGAATTGCCTTGTGTTGAAAGGTATTATATACATAAACTTGCCTTGCCAGTATAGTTGTAGGCCTATGTGTTGTTTTTTAAATAGTTAAAGTATATTTTTTATTGGTGTAATGTTGTGTTTTTTGGCGCAACCGTATTATGGTGGTCACGTATTTTCAAGATGGCGGTCATTAAGAGAAAGAAGTGAAATGAGTGCACCTTCGGGGTTATCATAGTGCACTGTCCTACATTGCATCAGAACTCAAATATGCACTCGAATCCGCACATGTAAGTACAGAGGAACACGGATTGAAACACAGCATTACTCACACAGAGACAAACATTTCTGCTGCAACTCTCCAGAGATCCGTTGACTGAGATGTAAGCTAAGACAGCCCTAGCATTCAGCACAGGCACTGTAAATACTATGGCTTAAGCACCTGTGATTACCATAATAACCATTGTTCTTCACAACAATTACTACAGTTGAAGTGTAATAAGCAGTTTGGATGTTTGTCTATTTCATGACTTAAGTAAGGCTTGAACTGACTTGGTGGAGCCCGGGTTAGAGTTTGGGGGTTGGGGCTAGCTACTACCAATGTGATGTTTAAGGTTTAAGACCTTAAGCTTCTTTTGTTAAATGAAAAGACTTTCACAGAAAATCATGCTCAGCATTCTAAAAAGTAAGTTGTCAAAAAATTATTGCATTGGTCCCAAAATATTAGTAAATTAAATATGACAATCCATCGACAACTGCATACAATAATAGTAATACAATAAGGTTGTGGCAGTAACAGAACAGTGTTGCTATGTTTTGTATACACAACTAGTCATATATTCAAATACATATTAGCATATTATCATGATAACCATACATATTGATCAGAAATCATTCTTACCCTTGAGCTGTCTTCTTGGGAACGCTGGTAGCGTTTCCAGCGGCAACCATAGATCCCAGTGACGAAGGACACAAAGAGCTGCTTCTCATAGACCTGTAATGGTTGGTGTTTCACCATGCTCCTGCAGCCAGTCTCTTAACATCCCACACAGGACTGGGAACCCTGAAGAAAACACAACATACTTTCAGAAAATTAACTCGCTTTTCATACATACAATTATATATTCCATCAACATACCATGTCACGTCATGTTGCTCAGGTGTTTTTCACTAAACAAAATGAATATGTTGACAGTCCTGTGCCTTGTTTGGAGTTACAACACCTGGGAGGCAGTTAACACACTATTCAATAGTGACTCACATCAGGGACAGACATAATAATATGGTATATGCTTTACAGTCAACCTTAAGGTAAGCAGCTTTATGGGAACGTCTTGATCCTTTAACAAGAAGATCATCGGAGAGAGGGAAGAGTGAGATGAAGTCAGTGTGTTGCTCCCATACTCCCCGCTGCCTCAGAGAAAAGCTTGTTGCCTTGGTGGCAGGTAAAAATGTCTTTCAGCATTCAAACGACTTAATTCATCCCAAGTAGGGCAAGTTTATTCCAGCTTTACCCAGTCCATACACAACATCCAAACTCACAAGCAAGGAATTTTTCGTAGTCAACAGTAAATACAAAAACGTTTTAATAAACTTCAAATAACCAAGCTTTCTGGAAAAGTTGGTTTTGTGCCATGTCTTTTTTTGTAGTGATCCTTGTTGCTCCTTTTTCCTTGTTTTTAAAAAGCATTTTCAACCCATTTCTTAGAAGCTTGTATGAAATGCATGATTGTAGCAAATGTAACATACAGTACACTGAGTGGTAGCTACATGATGTCTTTCAAAAGCTGGTTACAGAGAACAAAGCATGTGGCCTTGAGGGCCTTTCTGTTCTGGGTGAGTGACAGTTAAAGATAATGTTGATTTCCAAATAATTATATATTTTTTCTTTTAGCAGCATGGTGACATACCACAATTTAAATCTTAAAAACTCATTGAGTATTGTGTGGATTTAAACATTTTTGTACATACATTCATGGTCCCTAGAGGATGAATCCTTGTCATGGTTTTTATATTCTTTTTATTTTGAATAGTTTGCTTGTTTGTGTGATTCTTCCTCACTCCCATTTGCCTGCTCTCTCGTCAGTACATCCTCCTCACCAACCAGTCATCTGCTCTATTCCTAATCAGCTGGTACGTATACACACACCGATCAGACACTGACCAGATTGTCTTGGTGCCACTTGCCAAAGCTTTCCAACGTTGTTTGTGTCTTGCCAGTATCTGTGCTCACCGTTGCATGTTTTTTCCCGGACTCAGATTTGACCTAGTCCTAAACTTGTGTTTGCCTGATTGGATTTATGTATCTTTGCTCTACTTTTTATAAGTAAAGACTTTGTGGTTTGCACCTGCCTTTGCTTGAATCATGCTTTGGGGTTTTGGTCCTTCAGTTGGGAAAATTCTCATGACTTCTCTCTGGTACCATAATAAAAGACATTTTTAGTTCCAATTAAAAGAAATTGGTTTGAAACCAAATGCCCATCAGTATGAAGGTAGGTGTCCTCAGTCATTTGAATGAGGCCACTGCTTTGGTACAGCACATATGACTGTGATGAGGGCCTGGCATTGTCACTAACAGAACCATTTGTTCCTGTGGGCTCCTCTGTTCCGGACAGATAGAGGGAGATCAATGTGAGTTTACGGGTCAACAGACCTCACCAACAACAAACTGCTCCTTTGTATTTATCACTTGTCTTTAAGCACTTGACAAATCGCACCATGACAGTGTGACCGAGCTAATTGTGTTTCTGGCTAGCACTGTTCAATTTATAAGCAGATCCATAGAGAAACAAGACCTGTTTCTACAGCCCTGAAGCAGCTCAGTGAGGCTGCACTGAGACCTAGCAGAGCTTTGAGCTAAATGCTAAAATGCAAACACAGTAAATAGCATTTGTAACACTATTCTAGTTTTCAAACACACTAAATACTCCTGGATCCAGCACTTTCATCAACACTTGACAGAAAATACAAATGTGTGCACTGTGTCTTTGAGGGAAAGTCTTTAACAGTAAAACCACTGTGACACGACAACACTTGACTTCATTTGTGTTTCGATCAACATGCATTTACCTAGGCCTAATTCAAATATGCATTAATGATATAATATAAATGTTTAAGTATTTTTAGCAATTTAGTAATCTGCTGGTCATTTTCTTAATGTATTTTTTATGGTTTCTTTTTAAAATGACTGCATGTAGCACTTTTCTAGTCTTTACCACTATTAAGGGTCTTAATTACCTGCTGAGGGAGACCAATATTCACACACAGTCCAGCAACATTGGCCATGCCATCAGGAGCAATTTAGAGTTACACCTTGCCAACAGACACATCAACATGTTGACTGCAGGAGCTGGAACAACTGACGTTCCAATTGGAGGATGACCATCTACTTCGTCAGCCTAAACCGACCATAACATAGTCCTGTTAGAACAGTATAATCTCTGTATCAGGACAAGTGTAGAAAATGTACTTTGTTGAATTTTATAGATGTCCAATAATTCCTCAGCCAGGTTAGCTCAATTGACAACAAAGCTCTTCTAGCTGGCCTTAGACCAGGGGCCTATACTACGAAGCCGGTTCAACATAACCTGGATATGTTTGAGTTAGCCGGTTGGCCTAATCCAAAACATACGCGCTCTTGCTAAACTGTCCTACGACGCTGGTTATCAAGCGGATCGCTCAAGCCAGCCGTGTCCTATCTAGTTAGGTGCGCGTTCACATAAAAGAGGTGGTATTTGGAGCATTCGACCAATCACAAACATGGAGAAGCGTAGGCTACTGACAGCGCAGCGTCATACTTCCTGAATGAAAAGTAAACTATAATATTAATCAAATATGAATTAGTTAAACTTTAAACATCCATGACTTAAACACTTGATCCAGGATCAAAGCCACATAGCTGCACCTGCAAGGTGAATACAGCTGGTAAAAGAAAAAGTGTTTGAATGCGTACATTAACAGGTTTATGATATCACTGCCCTGTCTAAGACACGAGTGGATCTGACTTTAATTACATTTGACTCGAGTACTTCGTCAACTTAATGTGTTGCTTAAAATAATTCTGCATACAGTACGTGACACTGTGAGTGTTGCACGGCCAGATACGGCTCAAGAAACTGACTCAGATAAGGAGATAATACATTATGATGTGATATGAATGATAACGGGACACATCGACGTCTGCACTCACAGTGCCGCGAACTGTAGGCTACGTAATGTTACTTTGATCCGGTTACTTATGTTGTGGCAGATATTTAATTAAGCTTTCTTAACATAATAGTATAATAATAGTATATTAGTTATAATAGTCAGATTGCTCTGAAGATGGGAGGTGATATTCTATTCATTTTCACATTCACACAGTCGGTGATTTTTGCCGGCCGTCTTTCCTGCAAAGGCAGTTTAAACTGTATTTCCTCCGCACACTGAGCCCTAACGGCCCGTCTACACAGCGGCGTGCGTTGAAGCTTGCCGGCGGGCGTGTCTGAAACTCGACCAACAACCAATCACATGAATCTCCCGCCCCTGACACACAAGTAGCGGTTTGATTGGCTAGAGCTTGTACTGGCTTATGATTCGATTGGCTGGCGCTTCTGCCGAGGCTTCAAAAGTTGAACATTGCTCAACTTTTGCAGCGAGCCACGCCAGCAAACCTCTGCGTCGCTTCCCACAATGCAGTTCGGCGAAAAGTGACGTCACCCCATTCAAAGTGAATGGTGAAGCTTTCAACGCACGCCGCTGTGTAGACGGGTCGTGATTGGTCAGCAGGCGGTGCTTTCACTGAATGTATCTCTTATCCTGGAACCTATCCTGCTCCGGAGCAGGCTAGCCGCTCAGCATAAGTTATCTAGCCCGCTAAAAAGTGAACCAGCTTCGTAGGACTGGAAATCCCTGAAGTTAACTTGCTAAACGAAAATCCTGATTCGTAGTATAGGCCCCAGGTTAGCCGCTCAGCATAAGTTACCATGGAGATCTAGCCCGCTAAAAAGGGAACCAGCGTCGTAGGACCGGACACCCCGAGTTTTCCCTGAAGTTAGCCCGCTAAGCAAAAATCCTGCTTCGTAGTACAGGCCTCAGTTCCCTCTCATGAACCTGAGAGGATTTTACTACTCTCCTTTCCTCCCTGCCAGCTTCCAGAAGTTCCCTGGTGAGTGTCAGCACGCCTCCAAGGCTGAGGAACCTTACTGTGTCATAGCTGTCATTAAGTAAGATGTATGTTCTCATTGAATGATAATACAATAATCCACCGAGTCTCAGCCAACCAATTGCCACAGAGCCTCTGAGAAACTAGTCCATTATTAGGCTTTTATCTCAGTCACTGTCGCCTCATTACAGGCTCCCATCTTTCACTCCTTCATGAAATGTATATATCCATGCATTAAAAGTATCCTTAATCTTTCTGTGGATTAAGCCAAAAATAGAGATTCCATTAGTGCCACTCGCTGATTAATCATGTGGCGTATGAGGGCCAGAACCCTGTGCTAACCTGCGTCCATCTACTCGTCACAAGCTGCCCTGCACGTCAACAGCCAGTTCTGTGGAAACCTCAGACTTATTAAAGATGGTTCATTCTAACGGATGCAGCAGGTGGCCCGCAGGGAGCCAACCACTGAGCGGGATGCCTAAATATTGATGCAGGAATGAGTCCTAAAACCCCAGGAATTAGTTATCTTTTTACCACTTCCGGTTCCCTCGTCTCAAAGTCAAGGTTTTAAGCTAGATGCCTGGAATAAGAAGTATGGTCAATCTTAACGAGATGTCAACATCAATAAATATCTCTCTGCTGAATGTACAACGTTTCTATGTGTCTTAAAAACAGCAGTTGGTAACAAGTGACTAAATGAGAACACTAAATGTCATCAACAATATAAACAGTGGTGACGCGCAGTCATGGGACTACTTTGTTTATATGCTAATGTGAGCTATTTACTTCTGACAATTTTATTTACGCTTCAAAAACCAACAGATGGTGTTAATATAGATTGTCTTGCTTAGCAAAATGTGCAAGTATCACAAACATGTGTTTGGCAAAGGTCCTATTTTCCTATCAAAATCCAAGGTAAAAATCCCATTGCTTTTTGTCGCGTTGTCACGTCACGTTTACCTACAAATATACAGTACGTCATCACTGTACCCCTCTATTGGAAGTCAAATATGTCTTCTACTAACCACATGTAAAAGCACATGAAGACACACACATTAAAGCTTGGTTCATTGGCTTATCAAATACTTGACAACTGGATATTTGCAGAGCAAATGGATTACATCATATGTTCAGTGTTTACCATGCCATAAGATGCATACATGATGGGACATGGAGTCGGATGCAAACCAGTAATGGAAAGCAACTAAGTACATTTACTCAGGTACTGTACTTAAGTACAATTATTGACGTACTGGTACTTAAGTATGATCACTTTATGATACTTCTACACTTACATACTACTTCTACACCCCTACATTTCAAAGAGTAATAATGCATTTACTGGACTTCAGTTATCAGACAGCTTAAGTTACTTTTCAGAATAAGATTTTGCTTTGTTAAATAAAAAATACAGGACAGACTTTTAACATTATACATCTCTAAAGACTTAAACCGGTAGAATAACTGTTACAAAACGGTAAAAAATTCAGACATATTACAAAAAAGTTAGAAAGAAAGTCCTACAGTAGATATGAAACCGTTGAGTATCATATAAAATGTTACAAAAGCAAACCTTTACTTGATACTGCAATGTCAACAATCAATGTCATTCCATAATATTTTCTCAAATGGAGGACTTCTACAGCAGGAGGAGTACTTGTACTTGTGCTACTTCAAGTAAATTATTCTGACAGTACATTTTGAATACTGTAATTTGACATTGATATATTGGTACTTTTACTCAAGTAGAGGAAATGACTACTTCTTCAACTACTGATGAAAACAATCCGGCCCAAAGTGAATTAATGAAACCATTTCTTACTGTTGTGTACTTCCAAACATTGACATTGCTTATTTTCCCAGGGTAACCTACACTGTATTAAGTAAACTGTTAATACTACAGGAGAACACATGGGGACTAATGATGATCAGTTTGGTCCCTGTAATATCTATCATAATGAATAATAATAAGATGACCCTAATGCTGCTGAAATTGCCAATAAGAGCACAGAGGGTTTCACATTTGATCAAGGGCATCACTTTGTGTTAAAAAGTAGTGGGATATAGGTGATGATTTAGAAATAGTCTTCAATATACAATGTTAGGCAATGCAATGTTAGGGATCAATTTGACTAAGATTGGGAGAAAAAAACAAGGAACTTTGTCAAGACATTTTCAAAGTGACCAATCCCAGCATGCATGATTTTGGTCATTTTATGGTGAGTAAAATAGGGTAGGATATTCTGTTTAGTTGATGACGTTGAACATTAATTCATTCTATATATATTAACATTGTATTTTGTGTTTTCATACTATGTAAACAAACCTTTCTAAAAGTATTTGTCATTTGTTAATTATCATTTCTTGGTGCAAGTTTTTTTTACGTGTTTACAATATTATACTGTTAAAAAGTAATAGGGACGAAATCACAAAAGGGTTTGGGACCCGTCCCAATAGTCCTCACTGTAAATGACAAATATGCAACAGATTGAAAAGATAATAAAAGCTTTAACACCAGTGAGCACAGAGCACTGGTCAGTGACAGCCGCTCAGATTACAATTTAAATGGAGATAATCCGATAAAGTGCGCACAACACGCAGCCTGCTTTACCTCCACGACAGCCTTTTATCCCGGACAGAGTTGGAGCTCTGGGTTACTCAGTTATCTCCATGGTGGACATCATGTCTCCCTCACAGTTGGACTTTAAGGACGCATGCAGGTCTTCAGAGAGACTTCCTGCGGCCGCATGAGGCAGGTCGGCGGCGCACATCGAGAAGCTGCAGGACTTCAAAACTCTCCCATAGTTTGTCCTTGGACAGAGACACACACAAAAACACACGCACACACTCACACAAACACACACCTCAATTTCACACTGCAACAGAGCTGTAATCCTCTAACACTCTGTGGGTGGAGCTGTGCGGCACACTGCAAATAATACTGCATCTATTCAGATTAACACCGAGCACAGGGCTCAGAGGAGGACACTTTTTACAGTGTGCATCATATCAGTGACCAGGGGAACGCACCTGACTGCTACTGGAGGAGGGAGGTTCACTTCTGATGCCACGAAATGCTTTTTACTGTATCTTCAAGACAATGATTTAAATGTGTTAAATTACTATAGGGCAACATACAGTATAAGAAACAAATATAGAGTTTTGAACAAATGTGATTTGTTTTTAGTTCTGAGATTAAAGTTATAATTCTGACTTTAATCTCAAAACTAACAAACAACTCTTTTGTTCAGGTCTCAATAGTACGGTGGCCCTGAAGTGCAAGTCAAAACAGCATTTCAGGAAACACCGCAGCATTTCAATTTATACGGAAAGGGTATTCCTTTTAGGAGAACACTTCTTGTTTGTGATTGGACAGAGCCAGCCAGAGAAGCACTGCTGTGATTGGTTCTTTTTGCTGCCAGTCAAGAAATGACGCTTTGTGATTGATCTGCTCCCTCTGCACCCGACAGCGCAACATGCCCCGAACAGAGTTGGGTGTTACGCGTTACAAAGTAATGCGTTACTGTAATAATATTACTGGTAACGGAGTAGTGTAACGCGCTACTTTTATAATTCAGTAATCACACTACAGTTACTAACATTGCCCCGACACGCGTTACTTCGTTACTTTCTAAAATCAGTCATAATCAAACCTCAACAAACACCTGCAAAGAACACATGCTAAGGTGAAGCTAAGGCACAGCTATTTGTTGTTTGTTTATATCACGTAGTCTGTTCTTCTTCTCTGTTTTCCGGTTGTTGCCTGTTTTGAATGACGAATACACACTACCGCCGCCTGCTGGTAAGGAGAGTTATTGCCACTCACGCATGCGCAGTTCGTACGTGCTCGGCTGAAGTCTTGGCGGTGTGTTCCAGTGCAACACATGGCCAACACGCAGGAGAACACGCCGACGCAACAGCGTGAGCAGAGATAGACTGCGCAAAATATACAGATAGCAGGAGACAGAGGACAGCCATGGTCAGATAGGAAAACATTCAGGAGCTATCTGGATCAGTCGTCTTATGCGACAATGGAAACTGAACTAAAGAGAACATTTTAAACTTTAGCAGTCTGCGTGATCTGCCTGCAGGGAGGGGCGGGCCGGCCCTGCGAGTAAAGTAGCGAGTAAAGTAGCGAGTAAAGTAACGAGTTACTTTATGTAGAGAGTAACGAAGTAGTGTAATATATTACTTTTTTTTTAGTAACGACCCCATCTCTGGCCCCGAAACATCAGCCGTTAGCTGTTAGCACACAGAGCTCACAGCTCCTATCTGTTCAGAAACAGGACAAAAGTTAAACATGAACAAACCACAGACTGTCTATGTCATGGTGAATACAGTCGCTGCTTTATGTATGTCTGTATGCCATTGTTGTGAGTGTGGACGGAGCAGCTACAGGTTGGTTTATCCTGATCGATCTGATCTTCATTCAGGAAACACGCATTTTAAAAGGTTTTCGCCTGCCATCTTGTCTGCATCAAATGCTGGGGTGTTTTTTTTTATTTATTTTTTTTACACTTGATGTGAAGAAACCCGGCGTCATGGGCGGGTCCCATGGGGCCGGGCCCGCCCATCCAGGATTTGGGCCCGCCCATCCAGGATTTGGGCCCGCTGTTTTAATCAGGGCTGAATACCACATTTGTATTGTTTTATTATTATGTTTATTGTTGTTATTTGTAGGGCTTTGTCCTAATATTTATTTTTGTATTAGTTTAATATAATTTTTTTATTTTGCTAGGAAATTCTGAATGAAAGGCTGCGCGCAAGACTGGTTTTTTGCTGGGTTGAGTCGTGTGGGTTTTTGAGTGAGATGCGGCACAGCAGCCTGTCAGTTAGTTTACTCTTGCTAGTGGTTCACGAAAGGAATATGGCAACTCAGCGCCAGATGCAGGCACATTAGAATAAATCAGTTAGGCCTACGTTACCAATGAGTAAGCAAGTCAGCTGGCAATCAATTATATTTTGAAGAGAAATTTACTCTCAAGCCGGCTCTCTCACAAATTCCTGCTCTGTGCGCAAGCAGACCGCTGCACAGGCTCTCTGCCTCGCTCAATCTATCTCTCTCTCCCTTTCTCTCCATCGCTCAACCTCACTCCACCTCTCACCCTGTGTGCGCTCAAGTTTGCCTGCGTGCTTGCCCAAGTTGGCACAGCGTTACAAATGTGCCACAAAACCAACCAATGGATACATAAGAACGTCAACAGCCTTATGGCAACCTAAAACCCCTCTCTTCAAGAGATTGATTTCTATTTTATTAATCTAGGGTTTAATAAAGGATTTATCATTCTGATTATGAGGAAGTTACTCAGATCATATACTTGAGTAAATAAGTGTATACATAATCTGTTACAATAATAATAATAATACATTTATTTTGTTAGCGCTTTTACAGGTGCTCAAAGACGCTTTACAGATATAGTGAAAAGAAAAGAAAGGAACAACAAATAAATATATAGTCAAAGTTAAAGTCAAATAATACAAAAACAATCACACATTAAAAACCAGATTTAAGATTATACAACTATAAAGTAAAATTGTTTCTTGGGTAAAAGTACCAAAGTCTAGGCATCAAAATATACTTTAGGATCAGGAGCCTCATTTATAAAGGGATATACGCTCAAAAAATGGTGTATACGCCAGTTTCTACGCAATGTTTGCGATTTATAAAACACTAACTTGACGGGAAAATGTGCGGTCTTCCACGCAAACTCTGACCCATGCGTACGCACTAAGCACAAACACGGGAGAGACGAGAAACTGCGACACCGTTGGCAGAAGGAAGAATGGAGAGAAATATACGCAAATGTTATTGATCACCCCTCGATTATGTTCTCTTGTTAAGAAATGTATTCTCATAAATGATGCGGTAAACAGAAGGACAGAATTACTTTAAACTGACGCCCTTTTGCATTTATATACGTTGTATAGATACGAGCATGGTTTTATACTATCATGTTTAATCGTGTTTTATACCGTTCGCCAATAGCCTACTTGATAAGTCGCTCGTAAAACACAGGAGGTATGGAAACTAAGAACACCATATGTGGTAAATTGTACAGCAAATATAACACAACACATTAGTTATATTTCCTTTAACTGGTGGATTATGGATATATAGTTGCTGATCGACAGCTGGAACACAAACCACCAAATACAAAAACATAATTCAGATCCAGTCGTCATGACTCCACTCCGGAGGGATTCCCCGATCATTTCTTACAGTCTCTCATCAAGGGGGTGTCTCCTGTCCCCGGTACAAACACACTGCCTGAGGAAGGCTATGTGTATTTCTTTTGTCATGAACCTTTTTCGGACCACTTATTTATTTATTTTGGTGACGATCCGACCTCCATGCTACGACTCTGGTTCAAACGGCATCCACCAAACAATATGATTTATCTCCACCTCCCCAAAATAACCAGAATCTGACACGGTGTGAGATGTTTTTTTTTAGCTGTTCTGTCGTCATTTCCTGCGATCTTCTTCATAAAGTCAGTCAGAATGAATATTAATACGGGGCGTTTCTTTGACTATTTATAGGCAAATATGGGCGTTACGTCGTGAAGCCCGCAAAAGCTGCGCCGCATCTCGAGTTGATTTTGATTTATAAAGGGAAACCGGCGTAGGATGTGCCGTACGCAGTCTTTTATGAATCGGAAAGTGTCGGTGCGTATTTATTTGCATTGTCCTACGTAAGCAACCTTCCCACGCCAATCCTACGCAAGGCTTTATAAATGAGGCCCCTGGACTTAAAGGTGGGGTAGGTAAGTTTGAGAAACCGGCTCGAGATACAATTTTTGTTATATTCCATGGGATGCTCTTAACATCCCGATAGGAATGAATATCTTAAGTGCTTTGACAAGAATTCCATTAAAAAATGTCATCTGTGGAAGCCGTAGTACGGTAAAAAGCACGACCAATCATCTGAACCGGCCCGGCTAAAGTAACTGGATGGCCTACCTGCCTGTCAGCCTTCCATCTGTGCACAAACTTATGTCGTGCCCTCATTGGTCATGTGCGCGTTCGTGTGTGTTGGAGGAGGGGCTCTGTAAGGAAGTGGCAGATTTGTTCCGGTTGTGTATTTTCAAATTCTAGCGCACTCGAGCTGGTTTCTCCAAAATGACCTACCCCACCTTTAAAACTATTAGCATGCATACACATCTCCATTGCTTCACCGATCTGCCATTTGTTCCCATGAATGCCTTTTTAAAAGATTGATAAAGAATAAATAAATGTGTTACTAATTATTACTGACACCATAACTTTGAATGCATAGAATACATCCTTTCTAAAGTGTACTTTATTATTTATTTTTGTATAATTGTATTCAGCTGTAAAAGTTAATCAATTCAATATTGATTTATTTCAAATGCAAAACATAGCAATAGTACTCTGAAAAGTGAATTGTTCACAGCACATTTCTTTTCAACGCTACTTCATTTGCCGTCAAAGCTTTAATAAACAAATAAGACCTACTAGTTTGAGACAACGTAACAAAATGTGCACCTCTTTCTGTTGGCGGTCTCCGACCTTGTTTATTACATTTTTGACCTGATATTTCTCACACGCTGCAGGTGAGAGGTGTTTTGAGAGAGTTACGGTACGTCCACAGCAGCTTTAAACAAATCTTGAAAATCTTGGAGCTGGGCGTGTCTGAAAACTTGGGGATTTTTTGCGAGCAACGCGACCAACAACCAATCACATGAATCTCCCGCCCCCGACATACAAAGCAAAAAACCCCGGGGATTTTATGCGAGCAATATATATATATATATAAACTCCCCAAACAGGCGAAAACCTACCAGTTTCACCCACTGTCTCTGCCACCTCCCTCCATGCCTGGTTCCTCCGGTTTGTATCCTGGTAAATAGTCTGGTCGTAAAGAACCGGGTGATTTGCTACCGTAATTTCTCGTTTGGAATATGAGGAAATGAACTGCGGTCTAGCTCTCCCAGCTTGCACGTGGTTTGATTGGCTAGCGCTTGTACTGTCAGATTTGCATACACAGGATTTGATTGGCTGACGCTTCCAGCTCAGCTTCAAAAGTTGAACATTGCTCAACTTTTGAATCCTGAAAATCCTGGAAATCTTCGCTTCGCTCCCCCACAATGCAGTTCGGCGAAAAGCGAGGCAAAGTGACGTCATCCCCATTCAAAGTCAATGGGCAGAGAAGCGTTGGAAGCGTTGGAAGATTTGTTTAAAGCTGCTGTGTGGACGTACCGTTAAACTAAGTATGTTAGCAGTTCAAAGTGTCAGGACATGCCGGGGAGAAATCAATGGGGGATAACATTGAATAATGTACTCAACCTCACCAGGCATCTTGAGGAAATGTTAGCGTTTCCTGGAATCTACCAAGCAGAACTGCATTAGTGAAAGAGTGGACGGGCTTCATGGAGTCAAAACGTTCCATGAGCCTATTGGTGATCAGAAAATACTCTCAACATCAAGTCTCAGTGTTCTAAGTCCTAATTGGATAAGAACATGCAGTGATCTACACGGCTCTCCTTTTGGTGTCACTAAACTATTGAGATGTTGTTTTGTTGTGTTTGTAGCTCACTTAACACGACACAGGAGGCATATTACCAACACCTGTAGGGAGAAGATGTAGAGCAACGAGTAACGTCTTCTAACAGATCTATTCCAGGCCCAGCAATCAGAGATTAACCCTTGGCCTGGGATAATTACGTCACATCCCTTTAATCCCAAACAATTTAGCAGCAGCTGCAGTCAAAAGACAAACTTCAGCAGTGGACATGTGGAAACATGTCAGGAGAGGAATTCTAGCAGTACCAAATACATGCCAGAAGTGCTTCCGATGTATAAAAGTGTGATTTAATTCAAATGACCACTGAAGTGAAATAATGTCTTGTTGTTTTGTAAAAGTACGAGTAAAGTATGAAGATAAAGGTGGCAGTTACAGAACCAGGAACCTCTCAGTTGCACAAAAGCAACAATAGTAAAATAGTGTTTTAATGTTAGCTCTATGTGGACCTCTAGTGGTCATAAAGGGAACTCACACTCTAAACTGAATGTCAGTATTTATCAGTTATATCCAGCAGAGGGCGCCACTTGTGATCACGGAAATAATGTGAAATTAATTAGTTTCAGCAATCTGGGTATTGTAGTTTTTTTGTAATTGTCAATTACACATGACTCAAGGAAATAATAAGTGCTAAACTTAACTATCTTTAATATTGCAAACGGGTTACTTAAATGTTCCTGTTTATACATATTACACAATCATTATTTAGGTCATTTTATAAAATGTACCCTTTTTTTTATTAAAACATAATTGCTTTTCAGTAAAAGTGCCAAAATCAAAAGTTAGAGTATAGCTGAAAGTAATGTATGATCGGAATATATAATCTTGTGTTTTGTTTAGTTACCACTTCCGAATTGGTCAGAATATTCTTCTATTTTTCAGACAGCTGGGTCCTGGCTTTTTCTTTCTTTCTTTGCTTTCAGTGTGTTTTAGTTTTATGATGTTTTGTAACATTTGTACATATGAATATGTGCTTTTGTGCAGTTTGTTGGGGTCTGAGGCCTCACAGTTAGTGTGTCCCCACTTTTACACTAACATATAATTTAGCTGACGCTTTAATCCAAAGCGACAATAAATCAGACATTGTAGGATTACTGTAATCTAATAGTGGAGTGAAGCCTCTGTGAACCATTACCCTACCAGTAATGATGTACAGAGCTGTAGAAGCTGTGCAACTTGTGTTTGTATTTTTTACCAAAATAGTCTCTAAAAGGGAGTTCAGGAAGAGGATAGCAGGTCCTCTCTCTTGTAATTCAATGCAATTAAATATGCTTTTTTGGGAACAGCAGGTGTCATATTCTGTACAGATTGCTAAACCCCCTTGGAGCAAATTTGTAATCTGTGAAGTTGGAATATAAAATTAAAATAGACTTGATTTAACAGGTGTTAGAGGGGACATGCATCCACTTCTTCTGGATCTTCCTGCTGCCTGATCCTCTTTGAAACACACACACACACACACACACACACACACACACACACACACACACACACACACACACACACACACACACACACACACACACACACACACACACACACACACACACACCACACACACACACACACACACACACACACATCATATCCCCAAGCAGGGGGAGGATAAGCATAACATCTAATAACACCAGGAAGAAGAGCAGGAAGCATTCATGGGAAAGAATGCAACCATGGTGTTCCGTTGCCAAATCCCTTCCCACATCTATATCAGGCAGTACTGATGTATAATGGATTAAATCAAAACATTTGTATTCAAAACTGGATATATGTATTGAATACACAGATAGAGGCACGTGCACACTGACCATCTTCTTATGGGCTCTATTATCATACACGTGACCTCACAATAATTAAGAAAGCCAAAACTGTACTGATATTATTGCCAACTTATATTATCTGAAATAATTGACCAGCTACTGATATAATAATTGTGTTTTATAGTTATCAATTTCTTTATTAATAAAAGTTCCTAGTTTATGGTTAAGTAGAGGGTTTTTCGGGACTAGATTAACTGGAAATAGTTGTTCTTAGACATAATAATTGATTGGCAGGCGTTGAAACATTACAGTAAGATATTAAGTGACTCACCTTTCTAAATATGAAGGTTTGGTTTGGTTAATTCACTTTAGACACAGTTTCTGACCCATTCACTCATGGATCAACACCACAGTCGAACACATTACTTTAGCAGTGCATACTCAAGTGTGGGATTGGTCAAATGTATAGACCTGGTGGCAGAGTCGGAGAGGGACAATTACGAGTGGGGGGGGGGGGGGGGGGAGGAAATGGCTGTAAAAGCACTTTGACAACAACAAAGGTCCTTAACTCTCACTGTAAGTGTCAACATTTTCTTCATGACCCAACAAGTTTGTATTTTGGCAATTACATGAGTTCAGAAATGAAGCCGTCACTAAAACAATAGGATAGAAGTATGCATTGTAATTTTCACACCAATATACTACTATTGTTAAGCTATATTTGATGTCAATACAAAAAAGATAGTTCTACCATATTTACTTTGTGTATAACAAACACAACTTTATTAATTGGATGAGTAAACATTAATGAAAGTGTTTAAGATCCTAACAAGAACACTAATATTTGGGTGCAACCATAATCAATGAGTAATACAGGGTAACTTTAGTATAGGTCACAGAGGGGTGGTTTGCTTCAACAACTTCAGGCTTTAGGACCTGGGGGTTGCAGATTCTTCTCCCACTGCCCCTCACTATGGGCGGAGGAAGATTCCTGAGCAGAGATTTTAATGCTCTGTGAACCAGGCAGAGCAATTCCTGCAATTGTCTCATACAATTCTATGTTTGACTGCCATTTACATTATCCTCACATACAGCAGATCAGGGGATCTTTTTGCAGAAGCTTCAGGACAACCTACTGAACTGTTGAAAGAGCCCAATAAGGTAAGATAAAAGTTCTGGAAGTAAGGGGGGGAGGGAAAGTATGCAGTGTAGTGTTCAACTTGTGGGAAATGCCCAGGCATGTGAGAAGAGGCCACAAACTCAGATCTGGGATAAGGAGTCAAATATTCCATTGTAGTCCTAAACTGTGTGATTCTTGCAAGTTGTTTAAAAAAAATTACAAAACGTGAAAGTATGTTGCTTGCAAGTAGACATGCACGTGAGTTCAGAGAATTAGGAGGTGGCTGTAGAACATGTAGAAAATAACATAAAAACCAAATGGATTTTCATTAAAAGAAACATAGTATGATTATCACATGCAGTGTTACCTTAACATGCTATTCAGATCATATCATCAGCAGTTGATGAATCTATTCATCCTTGATCTTTCTGTTTTCAAGTTGCAGCACAATAAAAAATGTATCTTCCAACACTAATCATTTCAAATAACTGGAAAGGTTGCTGTTAATTGAGTTATACAGACAATAAACTCTAAAACGTAGCAGTTTGCCATTGATCTCTTTAATGCACATTGAAGTAAGCCCATCTCTAACTCTAACCCTGGCATTGGTTGAGTGTGTGTCAGCATGTGATCACTTTTTCCACGTCATGGGAAACTGATCAGCATCAACCAGACTCTTTCCTCTAGAGATTATTTTAGAAAACTTAAATCGTGTGTGTTGACATGAAGAATTCGTAGCTGGCCGCATTTGTTTCTTCTTGACATCCTGTAGCTGCCTACGTGTCTGTGGTGTAGGTCTAGCCCATAGGTCTAGCCTCAAGGTTTATTTGGGAGAGACGTTTTTGAATGTCAAGGCTTAAAGGTGGGGTAGGTAAGTTTGAGAAACCGGCTCGAGATACACTTTTTGTTATATTCCATGGAATGCTCTTAACATCCTGATAGCAATGAATATCTGACAAAAAAATCCATAAAAAAATGTTCATCTGTGGAAGCCGTAGCGCTGTAAAAAGCACGACCAATCATCTGAGCCGGCCCGGCTAAAATAACTGGATGGCCTACCTGCCTGTCAGCCTTCCATCTGTGCACAAGCTTATCTCGTGCCCCTCATTGGTCATGTGCGCGTTCGTGTGTGTTGGAGGAGGGGCTCTGCAAGGCTGTGTATTTTCAAATTCTAGCACACTCGAGCTGGTTTCTCCAAAATTACCTACCCCACCTTTCACTGTAGTTGCTGTCATAAGTCATTTGTAGACTAAGTGGCAAAAAGTGTTTCTAATAAGTTAAGATATGCGAAACTAAAACAGAACAAATTAGCCAAGATAAGAGTTTGGCTCGCTTAAATCAGTACATTAATACGATTTGCTTTATATCTTTCTTTTTCTTTGATTAGCATTCCAACATGTGGGTGCAAAGCCTGATGGCCCTGGTCCTCCTGTCTACTTCTGCTTCAGCTGCTACCTCGGCTTCACCAAAGAAAGTCCTGAGCAAACATGCCACCATCCTGGCTGACAACAGTGCAAAGTTTGCCTTCAGTCTCTACCAAAAAATGGCTAAGGAAAAGGACGTAGAAAACATCCTGATCTCCCCTGTAGTGGTGGCCTCCTCTCTGGGTCTGGTTGCTCTTGGGGGCAAAGCCTCCACTGCCTCTCAGGTGAAAAACATTCTGAATGCGGCTAAAGTCAAAGATGATCAACTACACTCTGGTTTGGCTGAGCTCCTGTCTGAGGTGAGCGACCCAAAAACCCGCAATGTCACCTGGAAGATCAGCAACCGTCTCTATGGACCCAGCTCCGTCACCTTTGTGGATGAGTTTGTCAAGAGCAGCCAGAAGCACTATAACTGTGATCACTCCAAGATAAACTTCAGAGATAAGAAGAGCGCCGTGAACTCCATCAACGAGTGGGCGTCCAAGTCTACTGACGGCAAACTGTCCGAAGTTACCAAGGATGTGGAGAAGGCTGATGGGGCGATGATCATCAATGCTATGTTTTTCAAACGTGAGTATTAAACCTGCAGATTTGCAATATAATTCCTTTTAAATGCTCTTAAAACTAACTGATTTGTATTCCTCACAGCTCATTGGAACGAGCAATTCCATCATAAAATGGTGGACAACCGTGGATTTGTGGTATCCCGTGGCTACACTGTTTCATTACAGATGATGCACCGTACCGGTAGGTTGGGACAGTCCAAGTATATATTCAGAAACAAAATTCATTAAAATCTTTTAGGGAAATATTCTCAAAGGTTCTCAATACAACATACAGAGCAGCTAAAAACTATTTAATATGTAAAGATATAGCGGGGTAATGTCTACCTGACTAGTAACTAATGAAGTCATATGATAATTTCTTTATTTAGGTTTTGTATGGATCAAACAAACAATATATAGAGTGTTAATTAATCAGCAAAAGAGCTGTTGGTGGATGCAAATTGTAATTTGGACAGAGCCAGGCTAGCTGCCCTCGCTTACAATCTTTAAGTCAATTTCTTTTTTGAAGTTAGGAGAAACACAATAAAAACAAAAACAACTTAAAGGCATTTTAATTCAGTTAAAATAAGTCAGCAGTGATGTGGCAGTGCAGTGTGTGTAGCTTATTGTCTGTGAACAAATGATACAACTCTTCCACCTGCTGATTTAAAGTGAGGGTGCTCTGTTAGCCCCCGAGCTAGCAGCGACAACGGCTCAAGCTTAAGGTGGAATTACTTTTAATGTGGGCAAGCTATTCCCATGTGACAAGCCACTTTACTTTTAGTCAGTACACAGAAACAAATAAGAGTAGCTAAAAGAAACAGAAACATCTTATGACCAGAAAAAGAATTATGTGTAATACATGTCATTTATTTCCACAGGTCTCTATGGCTTCCTTGACGACAAAACTAATAAGTTATCCATCCTGAGCATACCTCTGGCTCATAAGAAGTCCACTGTGGTGTTCTTTATGCCCCACCATGTGGAATCTCTGGAAAGGCTGGAGAAGCTGCTGACCCAGAAGCAGCTGGATAAGTGGATGGGCGCGCTGAAGCAGACAGCAGTAGCTGTGTCTCTGCCCAAAGTCAGCATGGAAGTCAGTCACAACCTGCAGGTAAGACACTAAAGATGACCACATCTCTTGACTTCTGATTTAATTGCTGTTTTATACAATTTGAATTACACACTAACTTCCTGCTCCCATTCATAGAAACACCTCGGGGAGTTGGGCCTGACAGATGCTGTAAACAAATCCAAAGCTGACTTTTCCAACATGTCTGGGAAGAAGGACCTCTACTTGTCCAGTGTGCTCCACGCCTCAGCCCTGGAATGGGACACTGATGGAAACGAAATGGACACGAGCATCTTCGGCACAGACAAGCTGAAAGACCCCAAACTGTTCTATGCAGACCACCCTTTCATCTTCCTCGTGAAGGACAAGAGCACCAAGTCAATCCTCTTCCTCGGCAGGATGGTCCGGCCAAAGGGTGACAAGATAAGAGATGAATTGTAACCATATAAAGTAAAGCTTAACGGTGTGTGTATTTTTTGTCTATATGTTTTATTTCGCACTAGAGCAGCGGTTTTCAAAGTGTGAGGCGCGCCTCCCCTGGGGGGCCCCAGAGAGCTTCATGGAAGGCGCAGCGTGAGACAAAAAATAACGAGAAAAAGACGAGTAAAGTGACACTTGCCCACTTTTGGCTGTCTGTGGAGACCGAGTTCCCCCACCTCGCCAAAAAGGCTGTACAAGTGCTCATTCCCTTCACCTCCACCTACCTGTGTGAGTGAGGGTTTTCCGCATTGACTTTGATCAAAAGCAAGTGCCGGTCAAGGCTGCAGCCAGAGGATGATCTGCGTTTATCCCTGTGTGCATCAAAGACGCAGACTCATAGTTCCCACTAAAGTAGGGGTGAGTGTAATAAGGAGGCAAAGTTGACGTTCAGTGTGTTGCCGGGAGCATATAAGGATGTATCTATGATGTTGAAAATGTTAAAAATGTTAAAAAAATATGTGTTGAGAACACGGCGTGCAAAAATATACGGGTCGTGCTGCAGCTAGATTTGCCTGTCCTCTGTAAGAAGGTGTCGGCGACTGACATGCAAGGAAGAACGGCTGTCCACAGGCTGTTCCAACTTTATTAACTTCCAGGGTAGTGAATTGAACATGCAATTGTAATTGCGTGTGTGGTATATTTTCATGCACGCACACGCATGTTCCACAACACACAAACTGAACAACACTCAATTGTCCGATCGCTACCAGTGTCCTTGCGATCTTGTTATAACAACAAGTGCACGTTACTGATGCAATATGGTATTCGGGCTTATTCTAGAGGGGTGCAAGGAATAGTCCAAGTAGTGGGGGAGTTTTATACAATATGTTTAAAACATAAAGATAAAAAAGTTATTGTTTAATGTTTTAAGGAGGTGACGCTACTCAGCCAATCAAATCGGTGCAGTCAGTGAGTCAGCACAATAGATTCAAACACACACACACAGAGACAGACAAGACAAGAGGAGAGAAAAAGTAATAATAATAATAAATTATATTTCTCTAGCGCTTTTCTTGAACCCAAAGACGCTTTACATTTGGGAGGGAGGGTAAACAAACAAAAAAAGTAAAACAGTAATTTCAAATGGCGGAAGGTAGACAGCGAAAACAGAGCATTTAATGACATTTTCTCTTACTGGACCTCTTTGAAATGCAATTGAATACCCCTGCATTGTAGCAACAATAATAATAACAGCAATAATAATTGGGAGGGGGGGCGCGGCTGTTCTTATGTTCTCTGAGGGGAGGCTCACCTTCCCACACTTTGAAAATCCCTGCACTAGAGCATTCCTTCACATCACAGGCCGACAGCATTCCACAACACACGGCTAAAGAGATGTGTTTAAACCTTTCATCCTGTGTTTGGTTAGCAAAGCCTTTTGCACACCAGATATCTTTTTATCTTGATGAGTATTTCATATCACTATATGTCCCATTTTAGTTTGCATTGGCAGCACACTACGCACTGAAAACTTAATTCAATAGGATCATCATGATTATTGCATAAAATGTAAATGCATTGGTATTGTGCCAGCACAAAAATTGTCTCACTCTTAATATTTTTTTGTAAAAGCTGTACAATAATCTTACTTTTGTAGAGCTGTGCGGTGTGATCCAAAAAGTTTGTAAAGCACACTGCTTTTTTATGTGTCAACTCCAAGGACGTTTCTCGTACATCCTTTGCACTGCTTTCAAACAAAAGTTCTACAATATTTATATTTGACCAAGAGGCTGAAATGCTATTATAAGGTTATTGATCCTCTCTGGATGCACTCATCTAAACTGGTAAACAAACCAAATTGTGACCAATTTAAGACTTATCTATAAAACAATTTTTCTGCAAATGATTTGACAGTTTCAAACTTGAATGGCTTTACACTGTTACAAATGTCCAGTTTTTGCAATAAAAGTATATATATATATACAGAAAAAGGTGTCATCCCTGTTTCAGATATTTTCTGTTTAAATTGTTCCTTTGTGTTAGAGAAGACTTTCTGTTTGCATTAGCAGTTTAGCCTGGCAGGTCTGTTGCCTGCAGTGGGATTATCCATCTGAATAACATGAGAACATTCCAGAGAGGGGGGTTATGTGACCCCCTGGGCAGCCTTACTTCAGCAGGAAATGTGATAGAGGTGCAATGGTGCCATAGTAAACATTGCCTCTTTATCAATGAACTGTAAATATTTAGACAAAACAAAATATTCAGGAACATCCAGCTGGGTTCTGCAGCTGCACCAATGAGCAAAGCATTTTAAGTGCCACACCAACATCCAACATTAGGTTCCCAATGAAAACTACAAGAATAACAGTCAACAGTGAGCAACTCCTTCATTATTTATTGGAAAGGGTTTAAATAAAAGATCTGAATATTATACTCTAGTTGGCTAAGGAGAAGACTAATTCTGAGATGAATAAAATCAGTAAACATGGGAGTTGTATTGTCACAACAATGTGTTCCGTGAGCTTTTGAGTGTATCACACCATCTAGAGGACAACTGGGTTCATGACAGAACAATGATTGTTTGTCCTCTAGTGGAACACTTGAGTACTTAAGCAAAACTATATCATAAGACATTTATTTATGCTTCAAATAAAAATGTGCACTCAATTAATATATCAAAGTATTGTCTATATGGTTGGCATAAAGTTAGCAAATGTCAGCCTGTATCTTATTTCAAAATGTTTCAAAGGAAAACTGATATTTAACTATTAATTATAGATCCATAAATCAATCCAAAAATGACGTGACAATAACACTATAACAAATCAAATAAAACGTTATTAATATAGCATTTTTCATACATGAAGGTAACTCAAAGTGCTTCACAAAACAAACACATGTATACACAATTTACAATACTAGCTCCCCTTTCCCAGGTAAAACCAGAGTAACACATAGCCTTGTGATTAAAAAGAACACTTAATACCAATGCAGGACTGAATAAAACAGGAATAAAATAAAATAGAATTCAGTTTTGTGTTACAGCATTATGATCAGCAATAATTTTCTTAGAAATAATGCCTGATTTATTTGTAAGAATTGTTTTCATTACTATGAACATTTATGGTGATTGCATTGTTAGAAGTTCATTGAATTCCAGTGAGTGCTTCAAAGCATGGACTCCTCTTTAGTGGTTCAGTGTAATTAAGTAGGAGTTTCTTCTTTTCTTTTTAAAGGTGCTAATTTCCCTAGAAAGGATGCTGTTAACATTAAGACTTCACCCTTTTATTATTGTGCATTTACCCAAAGAGCAGTGTTTAAAGAAAGAGTGGTTGTTAAATGCTCTTTAATGGTGGGAGATAAAGGATCACGAAATGCACTTTTATAGGGGGTTACTGCTGGTTAAAGGTCTTCTTATTTCCTCTTTTATTACTGATGTTACTTCCTGTTTACTTGTGTCAGTGTCATACAACAGAGCCTGGCTCAATAACCATGCTCTGTCGGTGGGTGCTTTAAGCTGGGTTATGATCAGTTACACCGAACGTGTTTATTATTAAATTGTTTAAAAGATAAAAAATAATGGTGATTATCATTTAGGACACTCGCGTATGATAATGTGTATTCAGTGAGTACACTAGTTCCACTTACTTTATTAAAAAAACGTTTGCATATTTGAAAATGTAGGTGCATATTTTAAAATGTGAACCCTGTTCATTAACTCCATTTTAATTTAACTCAAAAATATCAATTTTTCTATTGATGCCCCAACCCCAATCAACACAGAGCCCACCCCCATTATAATTCCCAACATAATGTGGAGGAAGTACTCAGATACTTTTGTAGCAGAAGTAAAAGTACTCATTATGCCTTAAGGCCCATTTTAGAATCATATATTCTTACTGGATGATCAGAGGTGAAAGAAGTACATTCTATTAATGTCAAAATACTCCATTACAAGGAGAAAGCCCTATATTCTTAAATAAAAGTAGGCTACAGATATTTTATCAAGAGAAGATGCAGTACTGAACAATCTGGTGCCACTAAATGTTTTTAAAGCTCGGTTGGATGCTAGTCAATCGGAAGCTATTGGTACCTGTTTATGTGGATAGTTATGTAAATGATGCTGTATGATGTCCTTTTGTTGTTCTATTTATGTTTTTATGTTTCATGTGGAACTACTTGAGCAGGTCTCCCTTGAAAAAGAGATCAATGATCTCAATGGGATTTATCTGTATAAATAAAGGTTTGAAATTAAATGAAATGAGTAGTAGCCTACTAAGTACTAATTCTGCAAAAATATCTTCCATATGCAATATATTATTACTAGGGCCGGGACTCGATTAAAAAAAGTAATCTAATTAATTAGAGGCTTTGTAATTAATTAATCGAAATTAATCGCATTTTTAATCAAATATAAATATTTGACCTGAGAACAGTGAGAAGCAATTTTTTTCACATGGATTTTAGTATACCATTAGGCGCATTCACACCGCAGTACTTTTCCCACAAAGGTTCATGAGAACTTAGTTCATGAGAACTCTTTGAACCTGGGGGTGGATTAGGCAAATGAAGCCGCTGACGTCACTTCTTCTTCTTCTGCTTTGGGTTTACTGGCAGGCCGCAAACCACTTCACGGCGTATACTGCCGCCTAAAGTCCCCGGCCGGAAGTCCCCGGAGTTGGGGACTGGCTTCAGTAGAAGCTGCTGGGAGTCCCAGCAGCTTCTACTGAAGCCTTCCGAGTAAATCGCCAGCACGCCGACACCTCCTCATCTCCACCGCTCCCATGTTTTATTTTGTGTTGCCATAAGTTAGTCTCTCTGCGTTTCTGCGCTGGGCTAATGCTAATAATGCTAATGCGAGGATAATAAAATGGCGGCTTCACAAAACTTTTTGGGAGTTTTACGGGGCGTGGTTTGCAATCCGCCCAGCCAATCAGAAATATAGCTCTTTTCTCACAAGAGAGCCGTACGAAAGTCCCTGCTCTCTAGCAGCTCTCTGCTCTCTAGCAGGGACTTTCGTGGGGGTAAAAAGGTTCTCATGAACTAATTTTAGTACCGGCTCTTTTTGGTGTGAATGCGATAAAAGAGGCTAACGTCCACGCTAGCTTCCACGCTAGCTGCTATATGTTTTGCATTGAGGTGATACTTGAGGCTTGATGTGCTGCGGTGATATGCGAATTCCTTTTTGCATAATTTGCACACAACCGTGCTCTTATCAACGCTTCCATCCGTCCGTTTTTTAAAACAACATTTCCCACTGTTGTTCACTGTGGTTTGTTGTTGTCTGAAGTCATGAACGTTAGTTGGTGCTCCAGTATAATCGGTACGCCTGAAACTCATCCAGTGAGAAACTCATCCAGTGAGAAACGTTCCGCGGTGCAAAAATAAGTGCGATTAAAATGCGTTAATTTTTTTAACGCGTTAATTTTTGTGTAATTAATTAATCTTAATTAACGCGTTAAAGTCCCGGCCCTAATTATTACTCTATCTTACATTATTAGATTGTGGAAATGTTATATGGGGCATTCTACCGAATTAGTACAAAGTGCGGTCCACAACAAGAAAAACTATTTAACAAAACAATTACGTATTCAGACATAGATATTTTTTTCATAGATATGTTATGGTCTATTTAAACATGAGGCATTACATTAGTGATAATCTTAAGGGTGGGGTAGGTAATTTTGGAGAAACCAGCTCGAGTGCGCTAGAAGTTGAAGATACACAGCCGGAACAAATCTCCCACTTCCTTATGTTAGTAATTCTTGAACCCTGAGAGCAGGACAGACTGAAGCTTATAAAAGTTAACAGCATTTAATTACACAAATGCGTTCGGTCAGCCGAGGTCAGGAGAAGAGATCGATTCTTGGCTTGCTCTTCCTGTTGTCATCCGAGGCAGAGCCCTAGAGAGATAAGAGTTACGACACTTTTTGATGTCGCCGCCAGCCGGTCACGTGGTTTATGTATGCCGGGATAGTTCAAAACGCACTTCCGTTGCAATGCTTCTCTATGGCAAAAACAGCACAAACATGGTCAAAATAGTCATAGATTAAACCAACGCTGTTATTTTTTAAAGATTGCTTTCATATTTACATGATGTGGTTACACTTTGTATGGATTGGCACTATTTATAAGTTTCGTTATTTAACGATATTTTGAGGGGAAAGTGTGGTAGCACAAGCAGGCTATGTTGCTGTTACTGCCAGGGCAGTCACGTCCGTAGTATAGTTGCGCTGCGCTGTCATGTTCTTCTATGGGACAGACAGACAGCAGCGATTGCGTTATTGAAAGGTAAATATATATATAAAAAAAACACACACACCCAAGTACTTTTTCAGCTGTAATTGCATTATTGCATACTTTTTATTGACAGTTTTGCATTTGGAGAGGCAGGGTGACAACGGAAAGCTTGGTAGCTTATTACTTAGATACATTTTTGGAGGGAAACGCTTGTGTTCATGTTAGCATGGGTAGCATGATCATGTTAAGACTATGAATATCATTTTACCACAACAGTGGATGAACAATTGATGTGTTTGAACAAGTGACGTGTGTTAGAACAAAACAAAGTCAAATGAATGAGAAGGAGAACAAAGAGGGTTAGGGTTCAACAGAAAAAGATTAATTCAGCCAAAAAACACAATTTTGATTAATCTAAAGTGTAAAACAATCTTCAACACAGACCAAATTAGTGCCTTGGACAACAAAACATATGGTGGGGCAAAGAAACGATAAATTAAATTGAGAGTGGGAGACTAAAAATGATTACTATGATAAATATTCAAACTATTTACAGAAGCTCCTGTTGAACCAGCAACAAAAACAGGTTTGTCAACAATAACGAGGCCACTTTGCCAGGGGGAGGTGATCCAGCGACGAGACAATAAAGCAATTCATATTAGGTTCTGTCGAGACACTACAGAATATAAAACCTTCCAAGCCATGACCTCTGCCTGAAATCAGGACCACTCAGAGGCAGTGGCGAGCCGTG